GCCACAAGACGAGCAACTTTATTAAAGGGTAGCCACAAGACGAGCAACTGTATTACAGGGTCACCACAACAAGAGCAACTGCATTAAAGGATAGCCACAAGACGAGCAACTGTATTAAAGGGTAGCCACAAGACGAGCAACTGTATTAAATGGTAGCCACAAGACGAGCAACTGTATTACAGGGTCACCACAACAAGAGCAACTGCATTAAAGGATAGCCACAAGACGAGCAACTGTATTAAAGGGTCGTGGCATTAGGAAGGTTGAGAACCAGTGCCCTAGATGTTTGGCAAGTGAGCGCTACATCCCCCGACAACCACCTTATTGTTTGCCCTTGCTGATAAACTTGCAATGAATACAGTCTATTTCATGAAATGGAGCCTGTCTTCGCTTCTAGTGTTTTGAAGTTTACCGCTTTTAGCGCACAGTAACATAAGTCACTTAAAGGCTCTTCAGTAGAACAATCTGTACTGTACTTGATTTTAGGTCACTGTGGCTTGGAAGGCAATGAAAAGGCAAACAGGTTGGCTAGAAGCGGCAGTGATATGGTAAAACCAAATAGTGACTAATCTCACCAAGAGACTAAGACATTAATACTATCTAGGATCCAGGAATAACCAGGAAAGGTGCCTGGATACACACACCAAATTTTCTTCTCAGAATTCTTTTCATCGCCTCTCTAGAGATGCACAGTGTATTATATTCAGACTAAGGACAGGGCACAACAAACTTCATCAACATGTTCAACCTTTTTGGTGCAGGAAACACGAAGACATACCCCTGCAGCGTGACACTCGAAAATGCTGAGAATGTGCTCCAACACTGCCAACTGTATGTTGACAACAGAGACGCAGCTGACAACAGAGACGCAATCTGGCCTGTTCCAACCACAATAAAGACAAAGCTGTATATATAGTATATGAGAAGATATGGACTGCACGAAAGCTTTCATCAAGGCTACCGGCCTCCTGGTATAAGTTTTCTTTCAGAAGGATCGAAGATTATTGTTATTATTATTATTATTATTATTATTATTATTATTATTATTATTATTATTATTATTATTATTATTATTATTATTATTATTATTATTATTATTATTATTATCGCGGAAGCCACACTGGTGTAGCGGCTAGACGCTGGCCTGGGTTCAAGTCCTGACGGGACCAGACTTGAAGAAATATGGACTCGGCTCCCAGGTCGAGCGAACCTTAAATGGGTCCCAGGTACAGTCATGGGAGGTAAAGGTTGCCGGCATGATGTTGACCAAATCCTCTACCGAGTGCCGATTGGTCTACAGAACATAGGTATAACCATATATGCCCAATATGCCCTTACTTATTATTAATAACACAAGTAGTATTAGTAGCCTTAGCAACAGAAATAATGTTGGTATTGGCGGTTGTATTTATTATTAATATTACTATTAGTGGTAACAATTTTAGTTGCAGTTGTGGTAGTTGCAGTAGTAGTTGTTGTTGTAGTCTTGGTTGTTTTATCAGAAGCAGTGCTATCAGCAATAGTATTATAATTTAATGTTGTTATAATAGTAATATCTGTAGTAGTGACAGCAGCAACGGTAGTAGAAGTGGCAACAATAGTAGTAGTAATAGTAATAGTTGCTATTGTTGTATAAGTTAAAATATATAGTAAGTAAAGTAATAATAACACACACACACACACTTAAACGATTAATACACACACGTGCGTGCAAACACACATTGGAGCAATAATAAGAGCAAATACAGTGTTCATTATAATCACCCCAATTGTCTGTTGAGCACACTACTACACAAATAATTGTTTTATTACCGATCTGCTGATAAATCGTATCATCTCCAGCGGTGATATCTCTTCCAAGCTTGTGATAACGTTCAGGTGAAGATCATTTCGTGTTGCAGCACGCTTATCTCATGCGCAGTGACCAAGCAATTTAAAAGTTGCATTAGGATCGTTGAGAAGTGGATGAATAGAATAATCCGTTTCTACGATATGGAAACAAAAGCACTCAAACACAGAGGTGTTGACACACACACAAAAACTGAATGAAATGACAGTTTTTGAAATAAATGGTAATAAAGACACTAGATCCATATTTTGGTTACAACCAGACATAATTTTGTGATATCCTCCTCCTCCTCCTCCTCCTCCTCCTCCTCATCATCATCATCATCAATCATCATCATCACCATCATCGTCATCTTCATCATCATCATCAATCATCATCATCACCATCATCGTCATCATCATCATCATCATCATATATCATCATTATCATCATCATCATCATCATCACCATCATCATCAATCAATCACCATTATCATCCTCATCATCATCATCATCATCGTCGTCATCATCATCATCATCCTCATCATCATCATTTTTATCCTCATCATCTTCATCCTCATCCTCATCAATCATCATTATCATCCTCATTATCATTATCATCCTCATCACCATCAACATCCTCATCACCATCATCATCATCATCAATCATTATCATCACCATCATCGTCATCATCATCATCATCAATCATCATTATCATCATCATCATCATCATCATCATATATCATCATTATCGTCATCATCATCATCATCATCATCATCATCACCATCAATCAATCATCATTATCATCCTCATCATCATCGTCGTAATCATCATCATCCTCATCACCATCATCATCATCATCATTGTCATCCTCATCATCTTCATCCTCATCATCATCAATCATCATTATCATCCTCATTATCATTATCATCCTCATCACCATCAACATCCTCATCACCATCATCATCATCATCATCAATCATCATCATCACCATCATCGTCATCATCATCATCATCAATCATCATCATCATCATCATCATCATCATCATCATCATATATCATCATATATCATCATTATCGTCATCATCATCATCATCATCATCATCAATCAATCATCATTATCATCCTCATCATCATCATCATCATCATCGTCGTCGTCATCATCATCATCCTCATCACCATCATCATCATCATCATTATTACTATCATCCTCATCATCTTCATCCTCATCATCATCAATCATCATTATCATCCTCATTATCAGTATCATCCTCATCACCATCAACATCAATCATCATTATCATCCTCATCATCATCATCATCATTATCATCCTCATCATCCTCATAATCATCATCATCATCGCCTTTCATTTTCGCCGTAAAGCTTTGTGGTGAAATACAGGGACGTTGGAAGCTGGATGATTATGTCGCTTGATCACCCCCCCCCCCCCCCCCCCTATCCCCAGACACAAAAAACTAGAAATAGGGGGTGGGTGGGGGAGGTGGGTGTGGGATGGAGAAGGAAAGGGGAAGGGTGGGAGGTGGTGGTAGAATATGCCTCCCTATACAAATATAAACACTCACCCCTGACAAGCATCATTTTCATTAACACAATAAATAATTTATATTTTTGTAAATTTTACTTACAAAGGCCTTACAAATGTGTGTTAATTCTAAACCTTTTCAACTTATGTACAGAATTTTTTTTTTTTTAAACAGTCTGAGGAATCGCTTGGACTGAATATTAATTGACGAACAATAAACAGTCTGAGATACGCATATAACACAGTACTACTAGCAGAAAGCGAGCAGGAGTTACAAAAACTAGTTGGTCAAGCCAAAATGCGGAATGCAGAGTATGGTTCAGACATTATTATTCAAAAAATCAAAAACTGTGGTAATTAACAATGGAAAAGAGCAGCGAACAGTAAACGTCACAGTAAATGGAGAGCTATTAGAACAAGTTGTTCCTGTCTATGACACGTAGTAACAGTTGAAGAAAGAAGCGAAACAACAGTCAAAAACATAATCCGAATGACGAAAACTGTCTTAAATAAGATGCGCAAATTACTGAAAGTTAGAGAGATAAACAACACACTAAAATAAGAATTGTCAAATATTATGTATACTCAGTACTGCTATATGGTGCAAAAACATGCACAATGAACAAGCAGCTAGAAAATCGAATTGAGTCTCTGGAGATATGTGCATACATAAAAATAGGTCGTATTTCATAGAAACAAAAATAGTCCAATGCATAAGTTCTGGAAAGGCTACGAATGAAAACAGAATTGCCTAAAGAATTAAAAAAGAGACAATTAAAAAACTTAGGCCACATCAAAAGACATATCACACTTTTAAAAGCCATACCAGTGGGAAAGTTCAAAGGCAAGAAAGCAAGTGGTCAGCAACGATACAAATAGAAGGACATCAAGAAATGAATGGGCAGCAGTCTGAGAGAGTGTACAACCAGGTCACGAGACAGAGCGTGTTGGAGATCCATTGCAGTCAACCTTGACTGTGGAGACGACCCCTGATTGATTGATTTATTGATGCAAAGGCCTTTAAAAGGCTTTTTAATCATGCACTACAAAGTCTGTCAAAGAAGCCCGAAAACTGAGCGACAGCTGCTGCAAATTACAAATCTGTCCAAAGAACTTTGCTGCTACCTTCGTTTCAGGATATTTCTGAAATGTTGCATTGTCTCGTCTTTCTAGACAATGCTATCACGGCTTGTTTTTGCTTTGTTTTGTGTTTCCTGCAGTTTTTGACATCCATCCATTTGGCAGACATTTGCATGATCGATGAGAGAGGTAAATATCGATATATACAGATCAAAATTGTTCTAAACAGGAAGTATACCAAGTTATATGTATACCAAAGTGGACGTATACCCAGGTGACAATATATATGAATGACTGTAACTCATGCATCTGGCCGAACAACCTCTAGAGCACCCACGTGTAAATCATCCACTGAAAGTATGTTCGAACCTTGTGACAATAAAAACATGGTCTACATATTCAATACACTACTTGAAAGATTACAACTTTCTAAACTATCAGAGACAATCAAGGGGGCGTTACCCAGCCCGACTATTTTCTTTCCAAGCTAAATAAGCTGAAGTCAGTGGGCAATCTGTTCGCTAGTGCTTCGGTTGATTCTCAACATGATCTCGTTCGTTCTTCTCGCCGCCGTGGTGTGTGCTGCCCAGGCAGCTTTCCCGTGCCAGGCTCCTGCAGAACTGACGGTAGATGATTCGTTATTTGTTGTCATTGTTTTTGTTGCTATTACTATCGTTGTCAAAAAGGCATGTATTTTGAAATTAGCGCTTTAATGTCTAGTTATTGTTTTTATATTACACCTCACTGTTTTGTTTATACGACTGCTGCTGCTCTATCTCATCCTACTTTTACTATTACACTACTTCTTTTACTACCACTGCTGATGCTATCATTACCACTGCTGCTGATGCTGTTTTCACAACTTATGCTGCTTTTAGCACCACAGCTGCTGCTACAATCACCACTGCTGCTGCTGCTATTATCACCACTGCTGCTGCTATTATCACCAATGCTGCTGCTATTATCACCCCGCTTTCTGCAGTCACTATTACCACCACCTACCACTACTACTACTACTTCCACGGTACCACCTAAAGATAATGATACTGCTGGCGTTGTTAGACTCGAAAAATAAACATTGAAGCAGAAGAGCGCCGTCTGAAGATGGTCACTCTTGTTCAACGGATGCCCTCAATGAGGAAATATACTTCGTACAGTGGTTTCAGCAAACACGGGCAGCGCATTATAAAAGGAAGGTTACACATAGCGAAACTAAGTGAGTGAGTGACCCTTAACCCTGCCAGGACTGCACAATAATGATAAACACAGGATGGCACAAAGTGTCACCATTCGGATAAGAATCCATCAGGTACATGATCAAGAAACCCCGTTCAACCGTTAAGTTATATTAAGGCGTGGAAGAGGGTCCCTAACTTTTCAAATGGTCATTTAACCGTTAAGGCTAACCCTGCCAACAAAGTCTGATGTGTTGACCAAAAGATGCACAGATCGCAGCCATGCAATTACATCTTCGGATGAACGCAGAAGAAGAAATTGTCATGTTCTTAGCACACGTGTTTTCATTGCGAGTCGCACGCCATTCAGAGGTAACAGGCTCGATTCCCGGCACGGTAACTATAGCTTTCGATTGTTATGCTGTCTAGTGTGTCCTTCTATCTTTCTTTGTCTTCCTAAGAGTACCGATCAGCACATTATCTGCTTTTTATTATATGTAAATTTAATAAGTCTAGTCTGCAACTAAGTCGATGCGAACGCTTCGTAATGCCGGGATGCCGGGTTCGATTCCAACCGCGGGCCTTGGGCCTTGCGTTGGCTTCGACAGTGGTATCAAGAAAGCCGGCCGTTAAGAAAGCAATGGCAAACTACTGGACGTAAATTTTCTAGAAACCACACAACAGCCAGGAGCTTTTCGGGCTGGTTCTGCAACGTCCTGTAAAGGATACGCAACAACCTGGATTAATTCTAGCATTACCGTGACCGCCCATTTTAAAGTAATCTCTCTCCTCTTCTTTTTCTTCTTTGCGTTCACCAGCTGTGCACTCTGGCGGAAAGTTCTGATTACTCGTCCACTACTGAACTGCAGTCCTGCTCCAGAACTTGAGTGTTGCGTGTGCATCAGTTTTACAAATCTCATTCTTTTGAATACAGACTGTTGGTTCCTTGCCTCTCCGGCAGATGCACTCCGACTTCAAAGGAAGCTCCCCAATTAGTCGACTCTTACGACATGCTTTTGGGGAGGCAGTGGGTCTATTCTTGTTTTCCCCACAATAGGGCTCCGGAACCCACACGGGGGTTAAAGTAATCAACGCAACACATTTTCTCAGCATAAAAGGGACATAATTGTATTGAATTCTTTTTTTATTTAAAATGTAGATTACATCCCCTTTTGCATCTACATTCTACTTCTGCTTTGCGTTCACCGGCTGTAAACTCCGGTGGAAAGTTCTGGTTGTTCGTCCACTTCTGGACTGCAGTCCTTTAAATTCCAGAACCTGATTGTTGCGTGTGCATCAGACAGATCTGACTAATTTGTATGCAGACTGTTGGTTCCTTGCCTATCAGGCTGATGCACTCCGACTTCGAAGGAAGCTCCCAATTAGTCGACTCTTACGACACTCTTTTGGGTAGGCAGTGGGTCTATTCTTGTTTTCCCTATAATAGGGCTCCGGAACCCACACGGGGAGCATCTACAGTGACATGAGCGCTGACTTGCCGGCGTAATTGTTACGTAAATTCGTTTTATTTTGTGTCCCTCTTTTTAAAAATGGGCAGTTGGCACGTCGTGTTGAAGTCTACAGCTAAGCAGCGATATCTGCGGTTTTGTTTTCAGCTCAACACATTCAATCTCTCCAAATCTTAATTAGTAATATTTTGCGACACACTTGTTAGGAAGCAGTGGGTCCCCCCCCCCCCCTTCCCTTCCACCCCGCTCACAACCCCTAAGGCCCAAACAGTGAATATTTTCATTTGAACACTGCCAGTGACATGGTCCATAGATGCATCATCGTCATCATCAGGTGCCATGCAAGGTTGGCGTAAGCGATACTTTGGAGCTGAGGTCAACTGAGCTACACCCCCCTCCCCCACAATGTTTTTAATAATAAGCGTAAGCTTTTTATTGAAGGCGGCTTATTTCAAACATTAGTCCAGACGCTGTAAGTCCCTTCCTACAGAATAACGGAACACTTGTGGGAATTTTGGTAGTGCTGTGATGTCGGCTCTTAGATAGACGCTTCAAAGAGTACAAGAGCCTATCTTAATTATACTGTCCTGCCTGTCTTTATCATAACTTAAAACAACAGTAAGCCAGTGCTTCATGATTGCGAGTGTGAGTGTGTTGTCAGTGAATACAGTTGTTTGGTGTCTGGGGTGATGTCGGCAAAATGTAGGAAGTTGAGTTGAGTCCCCAAAGCTAACTTCGTGGCGCGAGCCTGCGTAGATACTCATCTCAAACGACCACCCGACGCTGGAGCTACGCCCTAAATTCGGCCTTTGTTCGGCTGATGATTTCAGTAAAGTATATTTGAACATGTTCCGGCCCAGCCATGCATCACCTTAAATAGTTCACCACCTAGTATTTGTTTTGAGTCGTAGCGAATTGTTTGCTTCTGCCAGACGGTGTCTTTTGCATTTTTGCTCCATTTGTAGACTGAAATTATATAGTTTTGTCACCTAGCTTTGAGATGAGTGCATGGCGCGAAACTGTGAGCTGCGGATTTCATTTGGAATGATTTTCGACTGTGACCAATATGGTGGTGTGAACTGTAGATTCAGAAAATGGCGCGTGGCCTGTTGTCGCAATATTGGTGTTGCCATTGTGTGATTAAATTTGATCGCGTGTGCAACTGCTAATCTGTTGGTGACTTCTGCTACCATCGATGATTAACTGCATTTATAATATCGGACTGTTTGTGTTAGCACTTCAGATGGCTACCGTATGCTTTTAATGCGTGCGTATGTTAGTGCATATACTGAGAAAGCAGTCTGTCAATCTTTTCACAAGGGACTGCGATGAACATTCTGTTTGTTTTCGTTGGCACAGGAGTGGAGCAACTGTAAGGTGACCCGTTTGCTATGAAGCTGAAACTAAGATTACCAAGATTACCTAGTATTTACATATAGTAATATCTGCTTGCGCAAAAGAGGGATAAAGTAGCAGCGCCAAGGGACTCCTTCGTGAGCGTGGCGATGTTAATGAGCTTCGTAATTCCGTGGTGCCGAGGTGTTTGGCCGCTGATCCACCTTGCGCTGGTTTTAACAGCGGTATCAAGTGCCCACCCATCCACCGCTTCTTTTTCTTCTATTCTTCATTTCGTCTTTTACCGCTTCATGTGTCAATGGAGATGTAAAGTTCTTCGTCTTGCTACGGCAAAGTACTGAATGTAAAATTGCTTAGTAAAATCATAAACAGCTAAAAATGTTTTTATTAATAATAGAGAAGCTGGATTTGAAGTATTGTTTCAGATACTATGTGTGTATATGTGTCTTTGTGTGTTTATGTATATAAGTATGTGTTTTTAAAAAAGCCACGCTAGGAATAAATTGTTTAGACATCGGCGACCAGGTCGCCCATTGGCTGGCCGGTAGACGACTTCGTCGTCGGTCGAGAGAGTATTTGGGTCTGTCTCCTTTGATCACTACTTTCAGGGCTACTTGATGGCGAACTATACAAAGCTCTTTTTATATGGCACACACAGACATAGTCACACTTATAACCAGAAGCTTCCCCTTTGGGAAGGCTGGTTGAACGTGACGATTTTTAAATTTGTTTTTCGCAAAGCAAGTCAAGTTAAAGTGTTTAAAACAAAACATAATAATTGTGTCGGCAGTAAACAGTTAGCCCGTACTGGGTGAGTTAACGCGTTCCATCATACCTCAACACCGTGAATGAGTTTCTAAAAAGTTAATTGTGTATCCTTTACAGAACGTTGCAGAACCAACCCCAGCATTTTTTGGCTGTTGTGGTTTTTCTAGGCATATTTTACTTTCAGTAGTTGGCCATTGCCCTGAACGGTCGGCTATATGTGCCACCGTGGAAACCAACCCAATACACGCGGTCCGTGGCTGGGATCGAACCCAGCACCCCGGCATAACGAAGCGCGTTCGCAACGCCTAAGCCAAAGACGCCGACGAATGAGTTTCTGCTTGGGGTAAACAGGAAACGACACGAGTGGCTGGTATCCATATATACATATAGCATAAGCAATCACTGGATAATTTTACCCGCGCGGGCTCCGAAGGATGCATGGGGATGTGGGGGCGAGGGGGGGGGGGGGGGTGGGTTAACCTCTCGCTTACAAGTATGCCCTAAAAAGCTACTAATTACAGTTGTCTTCAAAGTCGGTGTGCATTTGCCAGAGTGGCGAGGGACTAATAGTCTAAATACGGTGAAGATGAAGCCAAGTTTGTAAAAGTGGGTTGGAGACGTGCAAGAAAAACTCAACATAGTAACAAGACCAAAATCCAGAGGTGGATGAACTACCAGAAACTTTCGCTGGAGTTTACAGACTGTGAAAGCGAAGAAGAAGTAGAACACTCGATAATTTGACGTTATCACCAGATTAGGACAGAACAAGTCACAGGTCACAAGACAATCTCGCTGTGTCGCCTACCAGTGTCAAGAAGGTGAGATAATGAACATTTGGGTGACTGCACTCTTACTCAATGAGATAACGAAAGTTGTCATTCGATGAGATAGCAATCACTCAGCTCAATCTCTTGACCTGTATGGTGTGCAGCACTTCATACTTTGGTTCAGTCAGGATAGAGTTGCAGATTTGGTCAGATGTTCTTTATCATAGGATCTGATTAGTGACATACTATATCTTGTCTTTGTCCATATCTCAGCTTCTAAAGAGCTTATGTGTGTTCACTCTTCCTGTGACAGCTATTAGCTGTTTTCTTCGCTAATGAAGACCTGTAGGAACCATCCTCTTTTATCTGTGAAAGAGTTTCTTTGTCGGCCCTGTAGATTTCTATTCGCAAACGATCGGATATGAGAGCATACATCGCATAATATGATCTCTTCCATGTGACATCAGTTAAGAAAAAAATTAACCCCTACCCGCCCTCAGTGGAGAAGATGCATTTATGACAGGAAAGACACTGCACACCCACAAGGAATTCCATGACGTGGTATCGATTGAGCTCCCAGTTAAAACACAATTTTCTTCCTAACGATGCATTACAAAATAGAAGCTGCTGCTGTTGCTACTACTATTGCTGCTACTGCTGACGATGATGATGATGGTGATGGTGGTAACCATAAGATTTCTAGTCTTCTGTTGTTTTCATTTATTTGAGACCATGTTCGACAGACAGGCGTGCTGGCCACTGCTCTATAGAGTCTGGCTAAATGGACGCACGTGATATGCAGTAGCTTACACACACATGCACGTTCACTGACATATGTTTCACGTCCAACGCGACGGTGATGTGTGGTCTATGATGTTGCCGTCACAGGTCGTCACAATGGGCACGTTTCCCCCCCCCCCCACACTAGTAACGCTGGTCACATTTTTCACACTGATAACAGTGGTCACGTAAATACCCCTGTGTGGGTTCAGAGGCGATATTTAGGGGGAAACGGGGAAAAAAAAGAATTCACTGCTACTTGCTGAAATCGCACGTGTTGTAATGATAATCGTCGATATCGACGCTAAGCAGTAAACGTCAACACATTATGCCAACTTCTTAATCTTCCTCTTCTTCTTCTTCTTCTTCTTCTTCTTCTTCTTCTTCTTTTGCTTTTGCTTCTTCTGCTGCTGCTTCTCTTTCATCGTATACGTCATGAATGAAACAGAATAACATAATTCTCTACAACAACACTAATACTGTCCCCCCCCCCCCCCCCCACCTCACCCTAGTTGCGAAAACCTTTCCCAGTGCTCAAACAAATCATAATTTTAACCCAACAAAGGCTATGTGTGAACATTCAGGTGACAATGTATAACATTTTTGTGTTACAGTTCCGGGCTGCCAGACATAACCAAGGAGAGACATACTTCCAGAGATTCTACACAGAGTACGACAGGAACAATGAGAGAGTCGTTTTCTTCGAGGAAGGCGTCGATGGTAGAGCACGCCAGTAAGTGTCACTTTAAATCAATAGCCTAGTACTAGCAATTTCATTCTACGGCGTGCATACCAAGCATCGATGACTTTTGAATTGTCTAGCCATTACAGAACCCTTATCTAATTCATTCTCTCATTGTATAATTCAAAGTGCTTTTGTGTGTTTCATTCACTCATGGTGGTGAGCTGGTATATGATAAACTAGATGTTGTAGGAGCCCTTTGGGAGGGAGTGACCAGTGCGAAGGCATAGTTAGATCAATACGGTCTGAGGAGAATGGAGCTGCGAGGAGTTACCAGGGGATCTGGCCGACGCTCGACACTCAAGGGGAGGTAAGGCGGACATACAATCAGTTACTGGTACCACTGGATCTGGAACTCTTCGCTTGCTGATGAACATGAGTGTTCCGAGTGTTATGATGTCGACTCTAATTCAACATTCAACATGCACTCATGGTATCAGTCAAAATGTTCTTATCTAATTCATTATTTCCTTCTACCATAAAAAGCTCTTGTCTAGGTCATAGGCCTACACCTTTTCTACCCATCACGGGATGGGTTTTTTTTTCAAGTGAACTTGGACTTCTAGTAATTTCCTCTGGTCTCTGTGCAGTGTGATTGGACCCCCGTGTGCCTTGTTGCGCTCTTAAAACATCTCTTGGCAGTTGGAAATCGAAAAGAGTAGCCTACCTGCGCTGCCCGGGCAAAACCTGGAGTTAACAATCTACCTAAAGTATTCAGGATCCTCGCTGGTGCTACAAAGCCAGTGCACTGTGCTGAGCAACTTTGGACTCAGACTTGAGTTAGAAGAAGAACGGAGCACTTAATGTGTTACTACCCTTGTGTCATGATGTTGATCCGTTGTTCAAACTTCAAACTTCAACTTCATATCCATCAAGAATTCTTGTATAATTAATTCTTATTTCCCTATTACAGAGCCCACGAGTTCTTGTTTCTCCACCGGCCTAACGTAGGTTTTGACTACGACTTCAGAAACAGGCGGTGCCGTAGATTCCCAGTTGGACCATTCAGGCCTTTCGAAGTCCCATTTAATTCCACATTTGAATTTGAGTACGAGCTAGGAGGACCTAATGAGCGAGTGGTTGTGGACAGATGGTCAGACCGGATCCCAGGCAGACAACGTGAGTTATTTCTTGTTGTTGTTGTTGTTGAGACATAGAATCCCAATGGAGGTTTGCATGTCGGTACTGGATAACTTCTTCACCTCCAATTTTCACCAAACAATATTGATAACATTTACAATTAATTCTTTTACCCATTATCTTTTGTGGTTGCCGTCTGTGGCTTAGGCGTTGCGAACGCGCTTCGTAATGCTGGAGAGCCCGGTTCGATCCCAGCTGCAGGCCTTGCGTTGGTTTCGATAGTGGTAACGAGAAGCCGACCGTCCAGAAGCAATGGCAAACTACTTGACGTAAACTTGCCTGGAAAAACCACAACGGCTAAAAAAAATTATTGGGCTGGTATTGCAATGTCCTGTAAAGGAAACGCAAATATCCTTAACTTCTCTTTTATGCTTTTCTATTGTTTGTTAAATGCATCACCGAGTGCCTTGCCGACTGGCATGAGCGATCCCGCCTTTCAACAGTCTGCGATCTGCAACTGAGCGTATCAGTTCGCAAGTTATCACCCCTCCGTGCCATGCGAAAAGACTGTCATGAATCGTCTCACGCTGTCTTCCTCTGTCTCTCTTTGCACAGCAGATCTTTCCAGTGGAAATAACATGTTCCAGTTTCCTTCTTTCCATAACATGACCAAACCACGATGACTGTCTCTGTCTGATGTTTAAGATAAGTTGTCTTCGAGCCCTCACCTCTTTCAGTACATATGAGTTGCTCTGTTGGACTGACCAGTGGACTCAAAGGATTCTTCTGTAAAACCACATGTCCGAGGCCTCAAGAACTTGATTGGCTTACGATGCTATCTTTACACTCAATGTCAGCAGCCGTCGCCTAGTTCACCCAAAATAGCTGATGTAAGAGCCAGAAGGCGCCCAAAGGAGAAGATACAAGGATGTCATTAATGACATAATACATCATGCAAGGAATGACAATATCTAGTGATACTCTAATGAGTTCTTCGGCCGATGTTCAACGGGAAAATGCAAGTTGGTGTCTGCATTTTTCGGCTATGGAAAAGTGGGACAATGGAACATGTTGTGACCACTGGAGAGATCCTGTGGAAAGAGGGATATAGAAAGACAACAAGAGAACAATCTTGACAGTTTTGTTGCATCGCATGGAGTTGTCTCGGCACACGAACTGATGCATGCTGCAGGAGATCGCAGATTGTGGAGAGGCATGATCTCTCTAACCAGTTGGCAAAGTAACTGATAAGAATTGTTGGTGTCATTATGTTTGAGGCTATCCTAAAATCATAGTGTATAAATTAACTGTTGTTGATGTGTGTGTTTTTTTTTATTCAGGTGAGACCTGGGTTGGAGAATTCACCTTAGGCCAGTGCTATCCGGTGAGCCAGTTCGTTCTGGACTTCAACAACTTTAACAACACCGCCATCACCCACATCTACGACGTTGTCAGCGGTGTCGTCAACCCCAACGATTTTGACGTGCCAGCCGAGTGTTTTAACGCCACAGTCCTGTCAGAGATGCCCTACGAGGCACGCGTCGCCAGGTCCATTTACTTCCGCTCACTTTAGGGCTCTCATGGATGACCTAGGACACACCTTGCCCTTACTTAGGCTCAGTGTCGTGTATTCCTGGGTATCTAGGGACTTTACATGTCGTTATAAAGTGTATGGTTTCTGTGTGAGATCATTAAATGTATCATTGTGTCTATATTACCTCCTTTGCTGTGTTGGTTGTGTTAATTTATCTTCTTCTTCTCGTTCTCGTTCACCGGCTGTAAACTCTGGCGGAGAAGTTCTGGTGGCTCGGCCACTAGACTTTGGTCTCGTTCCAGAACTTAAATTTTGCGTGCAACTGTTATGCTCTGGCTTATTTGTATACAGACTGTTAGCTTTTTACCTATCAGACAGTTGCAATCCGACTTCGAAGGAAACACCCATAACTAATAGCCTCCTACGTCATGCTGGTCAGTGGGCAGTGGGTCTCTTCTTTTTCCACAAAATGGGGCCCCAGAACCAGGGGAGGCGCGAACTCTTCACAAGGGGCCGCAAAATATTTGAAGATATACGAGCTTTTTCTTACATACGAATAATCATACTTTTACTTAGGTTAGGGCGCCGTGGAACATTTTTTTATTTAAAAAAAGGCGCCGCGACTAAGAAATGTTTGGGAAACACTGGTATATACACTAATTAAAGACAACAAGAGGCGAGGGGACTGTAATAAAGGATAGCTATGTAGAACATTTCAGTGAAATACAGTTTCAGCCACTTATGCGCTAGATACTCGCAAAAAATGGGGGGAGGGGGGGGGGTGTCGGGTTGGGGGTGTGTGTTATAAATTAGTTTGTGGAAGAAAATTTGTTGAAATAGAAGCGTAGATCGTATTTCTGATAATACATTTCACCCACACAAAAAAACGTATATTTTGGTAACATCTGCAAACACGAAGTAGGTTGTTGAAAGAAATAAGATAATACATAAGTGAAGTCTTGGTTTTTCCATTAAAAAAAAACTTAGGCGATCGTAATTGTCTAGGTCCCATAAAACTGTGCCGCTAATTTTTGGAATGTCGTCTGCGAAAACTGTAAAGTCTCCCACACACACACACACACAAAACTTTACTTTTTATTGCACCAAGGCTGGTCTTCTTTCCGACGTCTCTCTTCGGAGCTGCGTTGTCTCGAGGCGTGGTGTTAGCCTCGAGTGCTAAAGGTCTGAGTTCAAGTCCCGGGGAAGGCTAGGATTTTTTCACGTGGACCTCTAGTAATTTCACCTGGTCACTGGGTAGTAAGACCAGACACCCGTGTGTATTGTTGCGCACGTAAAAAATACTTAGCAGTTAGAAATCGAAAAAGAGTAGCCTAACGGCGCTGCCCGGGCAGAATTTGGAGTAAGAATCTACCCAGAAATTTTTTCAGGATCCTCGCCGGTGCAACAGAGTTTGTGCACTGTGCTGAGATTCTTCAGACTCAGGCTTGAGTTAACAGAAGAAAGGAACACTTATGCGTTACACCCGTGTGCCATGATGAATAAACATAAACATAAACATAATCAATAGCTTACTGCGTGTGACCTGCAGTAAAGTGCTACAGTCTGTCTTTCAATGTCTACTTACAAATAAGCCGGTTTGCAGCTGATTTATGGAAGATGTTTGCGTCAATGTTGCTATCTTTTAGGTCGAGTTTGTATAAGTCCTTTAAAAGACACACAACTCTAACAAAGGGGAGGTGACATTGGAAGACAGGCGAGCAAGCTGTAAAGAGTATGACATATGAGGGGAGAGGGGGGGGGGGGAGTAAGAAGGGAGGGGCGTCTAGAGATGGAGCACGACCGGCTTCAGCTGAAGGGCCGTGCTGCTGACGTCACTGAGTCAGGCTAACGATGCGTTGACACAGCGGTTCTTAAACAAGAAATAAACTATTTTCGACGGTGGCGAGGAAAGACAACTTAAATTTTAACTTTTAAGTATCGACATGACTTATTTAATAATTTCACAGTTTTTAGCCGACTTTTCTTGAATATTGCCGCGGCACCCCTGGCAAATGCTCACGGCACCCCAGGGTGCCTCTGCACCCAGTTTGGGAACCGCTGCGTTTACGCAGCCCGACCCGGTGACGTCAGCAGCACTTCCCGTCAGCTGGAGCCGGTCGTGGATGGAGTAAGCAAAAGTTTGGTAGCGTTACAACTAGGGCTATCCGAAGTCTATTGCAGCCAACCTTTATTGTGTAGTCGGCACTGTCTTCATTGAAATGTAACTCAATAAAGGTTTGAGGTTTGAACAACGGATCAACATCATGGCACACGGGTAGTAACCCATAAGTGCTTGATCCGTTCTTTCTTCTTACTCAAGTCTGAGACCGAAGAAGCTCAGCACAGTGCACCTTGGGGATACTGAAATATTTTTTGCCAGGGCAGCGCCGTTAGGCTACTCTTTTTTGATTTCCAACTGGCAAGGGATTTTTTTACGTGCGTAACAATGAACACGGGCGTACGATCTCACTACCAGAGACCAGGGTAAATTACTAGAAGTCCAAGTCGGCGTAAAAAAAATAATTTCAGCCAGTAACCGGGATTGAACCCAGAACCTTTAGCACTCGGGGCGGACACCATGCATCAAGACAACGCAGCCTCTTTAACACACCGGAGAAACTAGAGTAAAGGTAAATGCGAGGAGCCGCGATAGAGTACTTTCTGCACACTTGGGGTAGTTTACAATCTATTCGACTTCGCAAGGAGACTTTTTTGTTTTTATAACTGATCTTAGCTTGGGTTAGGTCGTAGTGGTGTAGCTTCTAGACGCTCGTCTACGTATCTGAAGGTCACGGGTTCAGATCCTGATGGAGCCGGACTTTCTTCAAAAATGACCTTGGCTCACAGGTCGACCCAGCCTTAAATTGGTACCATGTGAAGTCATGTGAAGTCATGTGAAGTCATATGAAGTCATGTGAAGTCATGTGAAGTCATGTGAAGTCATGTGAAGTAGAGGAGGCATGTATGATGTTGAACACTTAACCCGCCGAGTGTCGAATAGTTTATAAAATATAGATCTAGCCCTATATGCCCAACTCGCACGAAGGCGTGAAACAGAGTGGTTTACTTCAGCTAGGCCTTGCCTAAAATGGCTACTGCGAAATTTCGTAGGAAGTAAAGAAGGGCAGAACGGTTCTGGCAACATCAATCTCTCATCCAGTGTCGATTGGTCTATACAAATGTTGGTCTAGCACAGTGGCTCTCAACATTCCTAATGCCGTCACCCTTTAAAACAGTTTCTCGTGTTGTGGAGACCTACAAACATACAATTATTTTCGTTGCTATTTCTTGACTACACTAAATACGTGTTTTCTGATGGGCTGAGACGACTCTTGTGAAAAGGTCGTTTCATCACAAGGGGTCGCGACCCACAGGTTGAGAACCGCTGCTCTAGTAGCTTATGCTTCGTCTTTACTCGCAGAGGACTTGCCGGCTACTGGTTGTGTAGGTAAGTATGTTGTTGTACCCCACCAGAACATCACACAAGCGATAAACACCCGGTGAGACAAAGTGCCACCATGCGGATGAGGATCACCCGTCGAAAGGTCCCAGAAACCCCTTTCAGCCGTAAGGCCATACATTTATGACCTGGCTAAATTCAGGGCCTCCGGCTAAAGAGAGGGTGGGCTTCAAATGAAGAAAAAAATTGCATTCCACAAGGGGACGACTATAGAAATAAATATTTCCCTTTGAGAACCACTGGTCTAGCAGGTTTTGGGGCATTTCCAACCCCCCCCCCCCCCCCCTTCCACCTAAAAAAAAGTAGAATTATGGCATCTACAACACTTACACCAACCCTGCTAAGCTACAGTCAAGTACTGGTTAGGACGCCCTTCACACTTCTCCGTGTTAACATCCAACTGCTATACATCCCTTATATCTTGACATAATCGTGTTTCTCCTTGTGATGTGTGTAGAGTTACATCCCTTAGATGTTGCCAACGTTTCTCTTTGCCCATGTTGTCCCGGGTTATATCCCTTAGTACCTGCCGACACGTGCTGGCCAGTGATTGGTTAGAGCTTGCACCCTGCTGTCAATTGTTTACCCGAGTGGTGTTCTTCATCCGCCAAATTCCCCAGATCTCACTGCCACGTGTCTGATCCCATTGTTACGCCTTTAATTACGTTTTGATATTTCTGTTTTTAAAAAAAGTTACAAGCCACCGGAGGGGCCCTCAACCCCCACCCTCATAATTCATTTACAATTCACACACATTCTGATTAAAAATATATGTTTATTCATCTCATCAATTTTAAATGTATTTTATTCACCTTTCAGCATAGCATTATTTTTTATTACTAGCTGTACCCGGCCACGCGTTGCTGTGGCATAGTTTGGCTATATGGAAATGAAAGAAAATAGAAATCTCACGTGTCTAATACAATCATTGTCTGCTCAGATATAGAGATAGTCTTTGATCCCCGCCCACCACCACAACTAAATCCACCTACTACTATCTCCCTCATCAAAGGTTTTTGGAAAAGAAAGACAATGTAAATCGCACGTGTCTAATACAGTTAATGTCGCAATCATTCTCTGCACAGATATAGCGATAGTCTGGTTTTCCAACTTTAGAACACGCACCTTATAATTGTGTCTTTATATTAGTGGTCGTTTAAATGGTGTTATTAGCACAGTAACAAAAATGGTTATTTGGTTATCACATGCTAAAGCTGTTTGTATTTTTATAGGGGACGGAAGTAAAGCTACAACTGTACTTGTGAATAACAAAGTAAGTCGTAAAAAATAGAAAAGCGGAGGTAGCGTTAGTAAAATATAAACAAATTAGGTAATGAAAACTTGAAAATCAAGTGTAAAGCTCTTTAATTTCTCTTAAATTTAAGTCATTACCTTCTCCCCTCTTCCACCGACTACTGCTCTCTCCCTCTTCGAAGGATTTGAAAATCACTAACTGGCGATATTTTGTTGTTGCTGTAACTGACATTGACATCCCTGTCCATCTGGACTAAAATAGGGAGCAGGAATTGTAAAAGGTAGTGAATAGGGCTAGTGTAATATTTACCACATCATCCTTCAA